GCCTCTTTTCACACAGATTTGGTGGTTCAAGCCAGCGACTGGACTCTGCTGCTCAGCAGAATTGTTTCTCAGCTCTGTTGACGCCTCTGAGCCGCCTGCAGCAGGGAAGAGGACAGGTAAATTTTACCCCAGGTAAAATAATGTCTCCAGCTCTTAAAGATGTTCTTACCTTAACTCACTCAATGAGAGTATTTGGAGAGTTTACACCCTCTGCCTCAGTTTGTGCCTCAGGGGTCCTGCCATCCCCTCGGGGTGCAGCACTGCCTGTCACTGCTGGGTGGAGCTGGGGGGCTGTGGGCAGCTCTCCCCCATCTGCAGTACCATAATGCTGCAGCCATGGCACTTGGCAGAGCAGCTCGATCCTGGTACTGCTATCAGGGCCGTGCAGCCAAGGGCTGTGCCAAATGCTTTGGATTCAGTTCCTGCGCCAAAGCCTGTCCAGCTCCGGGGCTGTGGCCCTGTTCCTCCCAGGGTGGGTGTGGAGGCCAGTGCAGTGGTGGCACCAGCCCTAGACCCCTCTGTTGCCTGTCACCTCCTTCCCCAAGCACCGTGCAGCTCCGGGCAGGTGCCTGTGTGCAGCCAAATGCTGGTGTCTCTTCTAAACGCTCTATCCTTGCAGGGCCACCCTGAGCCATGTCCAGCGACCCTCCACCGCCCTACCCGGGAGGCCCCTCAGCGCGCCCCCCCCCCGCGGCAGGTACGGGCGCTGGGTGACACTGCTGGGCGGGCAGGAGGTTTCCCTGTGCATGGCCACTCGCAGCTCTGCCCCACAGTGTGCTCTGCTCTGCTCTGCTCTGCTGGGGACTGTGGTGTGATGCCTGGCTCCAGTCATTGTGCCGCCCTTTGGGGAGGTGGGAGGGCCCAGGGGCAGTGACAAGAGCCAGAAGCACTCCCTGTTCAGAACCCAGCTCTGATCACTGCTGTAGGGTGATTTTGGGCTTGTGGCTCAGAGGATGGGGCCTGGGGGGTGGCCCCAATTCTATATTTAATCCCCCTGGCATCC